TTGCCACTCGTGATCGCATGAATCAGCAGCTGTCATTGCCCAACTGGTGCCAAGGGCAGTGCTTCGGAAAGGCTGGTGGCATATGTAGTTAAGAAAAAAGCGCGATCAGCTTCCAACTGAGCGAAGGCGATGTGAGGCAGCGCAATGGTAGAAGCCATGTTTGGCTGCAGTCGCCAAGAACGAAGTGTCTAGGACAGTGATGTCCAAGAGAAAACCAAGGAAAGAGGGAAGAACGACCTGGGAATTGGAATTGTTTACAGGCCATTATTTTTTGATCCTCACAGCAAGGGAGGCGTGGCTGGGAATTGAAGGGATATAAACAGAACTTGCATGTGAGCAGTTTTGACTGACGCACCATGTCAATGGACCGGAGTGCCGTACTCTGTACAAGCCAATGAACATCTCCAATCTGAAGTGAATTGGCACAAGTTCGCATAAAAAGCACAGCATAAGGTTCACTAATGTGCACAATTGCACTTTGCCACTGCCTTGGGTCCATGCAAAACACGACAACATGGCCTCAGCTCGAGTCAATCGACATCATCAAGGATTGTCGCAACTGTCTTCGACCATATAGTCACGTCCAGTACATGGGTAGGCGTGCCTCTGAAAGGACTTAAAGGCTGGCACTGCTGCGTAGATCTGATCCTTTCATGCATTGAGCAACATTGGGTCATCCTGTGCCACAGTGGGCTGCTCTAACTTCCAGCATCACAGCATGGGGTACAAGACATACGACAACCTGTGGTGGGTGGCAGATCTCCTTTCGCATCCAATGTGATGTACAAAACCTTGCTGGCACACAGTGCGGGGTACATGAAGCATGGGGGACGCAAGGCTAAGGAAGCTGGAAGAGAACTGTTTACACCATCATTATCGACTATGCACGTCCAGAAAATAACAAATTTGGGCAGTTTCAAATCTGCAATCATGAATGAGGCTCGCATCTGCTGACGATGTTGAAGGAAAGTGTGCAAGGGCCAAGGAAGCTTACTTTGAACTCTGTTGGCATCATGTTCTGTTCGGCGACATGATGATTCAGTAAGGACGTGGTTCAAATCATCTCTTGATTGATGCTGCAAGATTGTGCATCATGCACTGCATGCACCATGAGTACTTCAAGCACACCAAGGTAATGCATATTTTGCACAGGACATTGATTCAAAGTATGGAGCTGCAATTTGCTTATTTTGGGTGGTGTTTTGTTGCTCTGTCATACACAGAGCGAGTTCGTAACAGCGGGGTCGCAGGCATGCAGGATCTGTCAAGAGACTGTCGGTTTAGGTTTGGAGAATACGGTTTATTGTCATCCTTGTCCCCCATTTTAACGCCTTCATGTGCGCATGACATGATGCAATTCTGCTAGTATTCTGCTGGCCGCAAAATGGGATAAGCAAAGCAGGCAATGCACTGCCCCGACGCTGATGTGCCTTTGAACAATTTGAATTGGCGTCAGGCTGAAGCATTTCCAAAAATAGAGTCAGACGGAATTCCAGCTGATTAACAGGTATCACAACGCACGATGGTATGCGCTGGTCTGCGGGGATGCAAAGCGGGACGAAGAAATGGAGGTTGGGATGACAGCGAATGTTGTCCTAGACAACCTGTTCGTCCAAAACTCCAGCATGTTTCAACAGAATCTGGCGGTGAGCGCTTCGAAATTTTGCTCCTGGACAAAATTGCATGCCATGCAAATGAGTACACCCTTTCTGGGCAACCTCAGTTTGGAGGGATACGTGTTTGTAATGAGATGCTGGACCAGTTGCAAAACTGTCCAGCAGAGCAGCGGCCCAAAACTTCATTCAAAACTGAATTCAGTGAATGTTCATTGTACCCTTTGAATGAGAATGTTCTGGCCAGTTCTGACAAGTTCGAATGTACTGGACCAGGCCGGCTGGGTGCCTGGGTTAACGCTTCTGATCGACTTCCCCTTTGAGGGCCACGTGCATCATTTGGGACATTGGAGCCAATTGATGCTCTCGATTTTTGGTGTGCTTTATGAGAATCGAGGCCGTCGGTCTGGTCCGGACAATATCTCTAATATAGGTGAGACTGGACCCAACTGTTGTTTGTTTTCGTTGCATTCCCCATTGGCACCACGGCACACTGTATCATAGGGCCGACGCCCAAAGGCTACTTGTCGATTTGCGTGTGCTTGTGCTGCAAATGCAATTCTCGAGCCGCTCTAAAGAGCCATCGAGCTGGGCATGATGTCAAGTTTGCCATCCTCATTTGCCCGACACACCATTCAGGCTTGCAAGGTTTGTTCCAACATTCGGCTCGTGTCCCTCAATCTTCAACTTGGCGTCTTCGAACCATTGATGTGGCGCTGTTTCTCTGCAATTGCTGGGAGTCTTGATGTTGTCTCATCTTGGTTCTGTTTGGCCGAAATCCGAGGATGTTGTTGCTGCTGATGTTCGCACAACTCAATTCAGCATAGCACCCGCCATTGTCAGGTGAAGCCCTATGCCGGGGCCGTTGATGGCGCCGACAGCCTCTCAGTTCTGTCACCGACGCCACGGGCAACGGGGCGGCGACGTCGCCCGAGGTTGGGGCTCTAGAGCGTCACTCATGCTTGCCCAGCGAATTGCACGATGCTCTAAGTTACTCCGCCATTTGGTGATGAATTCGTTGCCGATTTTAGGAGATCAATCTGGACAATGAAGAGCCAGACGCCGCTGCCCCCAGACGCAGCCTGACGAACTCAAACGCTGCGCGGTGCTCCCCTACGCCTCATACGCGCTCCCAAAGTACGGGCGCCGAGGCCATGCCTCTGCGTGTTGTCCATTGCCCTGGCTTAAGCTTTGCACGCCACGCAACCACCTTCCTTGGCGACCCAATGTAGATTTCAAGAACCCTTTTGGATGCCCTTACTAAGGCCAAAACGCCAGTCCTGGAGCCATTGAGGCCACCGTTTCAACAGGTCAGCCAACAAACACCCTTTGCGAGTTTCCTGACATACATAAGAAACTCTAGTCAGGTTTGGATAAAAGGACCCCCAAGCCCAAAAAAGCATCCATCACAACGTGGCGGATACCGACGTGCACTTACACATTAAACGATGACTTGCCAGCCATTTCTCAGGCACAGCCAGTGTGCATGGCACCGGCCGCAGTGGTATTGCCACGTGTCTTTCGGCATGGTATTTAGAACGGTTCTGGATTACGTATCTGTCACTGTGCTCATTATCGCCTTTGCCTGTTAGTAATGATTGGTCACAAATGCCGAACGAACCCAATAAAGTAATGCCAGCCCGAAGAGAAGGAAAGGAGACCTACGCGAATGGGACCTGCAAAACGGGAGTTTTTTGGTACCCTTCTTGACTTAAACAGTTCGCCCAATCGGAGCCAACTTTATGCGCTTTCAGTGCTACGTGGGAACTGCTGGTGAATATGCTCGCCTGTCAGTTCACAAGCACGATAGTTGTTAATAAGCAACCGTCACGGTCTGCATTTGCTGTTGGGTTTTCAGTAGATTTTTTCAGCATTGGGAGTCCGTGTCGCTGCTGGGCACCCGCGTTGTCAGAGCGTCGATACATCTTATGGAGGTCGGTGTGGCCAAAGGTGCAGAGGCGTTGTTTTGAGCCTGCTTTGAAATTTCGACAGCAGGCTCAAAACGACGCCATTGCGCCTTTGGTCGCAAGAGCCCGATATTGTTTCAGGAGCATATTGTGCTGCATTTAATTTTAGAATAGTTATAGTGTAGGGACCTTGAAATTGTTTGGTTGAGGCCAAACCAGGGGATAAGCAAATGGCAAATATGTTCATGACCCAAAAGGGGTGGGAGAGGACTTGCAAAGTTGTTGATTCAAAAGTTTGAGATGTGATCTCCCAAGTGATGGCTGGCCTAAAAACAGGACCTCCGTTTTCTCAAGTTGTGTGACAGCAGTTTTGCATTCTGTAACACCGCTGGCACTTGACAGGGCCATTGCCCCATGGTGAGCCACCATGGTGAGTCGCCACTTGAGGTCAGACCTCAAAGTACTCCCATGTCCAGCGCAGGTCTCCCGACCATCTGAAACATACATCCAGGTCGACTCAGCCACAACTCAATGCCTCGGCGGGCGTCGCGAAATCGTCTGAAAGTTGAGCTGTATTTCACCTCTTCTGAGAATTTCTAGTTTGTCGCTTTGCGAAGGGAAGGCCGCTGCATCAGAAGACGTAGTGTTGATCTAGCCTCAAGAAGCCATTTAATGTACTTTAGTATGATGCCAGGAGGCGCGCGGGGGTCGGGGGTGGGTGAGGAGGGGGGGAGGGGGGGTATCCCGTATCTAGGATATGGAACTTACTCCTAACACCAGTAGAAACCGATATTCTTGTGATGACAACTGCGATGCCATTTGACACCAATTGATGGCATCATGCCCACTTTTGTGCCATCGACTGTGATGGCCCCACTTTGTGTCAAAATGGCATCGCAGTTGGCATCGCAAACATGGTGATTTCTGATGGTGCAAGTGATGGATCAACTGACTAGCTACGGCGCTGGGAGCGCTGCGGTGAGGGCTCTCTGGCGCTTGTGGATTCAGACAGATTGATCTTGCACAACCTTCGGAAGGCGGGATTGACCAGCTGGTTTAAGGCTGCCTTGAACGCCGCCCTCGCGAACGTCTCCCTGCAGTGGCGGGAGGACGTTGCCCAACAATCGGGGAAAGGGGCTCTTGTGCTGGATGTTGGAGATCTCGCCCTGGCGCCGGAGCAGCAGTGGATTGGATTCGAAAAGGTCCTTGTCGTCGACGACAGGTGAAGTTTGCTCAGACGGTTTGAATCGGGTGCAGTGTATGCGCGCCACTTATTGTGCATTTCTGGTTGACATAGAGCAGAAAAATACACATTGCAATTCTGATCGAAATGATGGAGAATGGGAGATTTGATATTTTTGTGGTTAAGCTAAGTCCCTAAACTTTAAGGATGTTTTGCGCTGGCAAAAATATGATTATCAGTAGAGCGCCATGAGCGAGCGTTGATCCAACGATTCCCTATTTTAGGTACACACATCCGATGGGCATAAGCGGATACCGGGTCCCAGGCCACGGCGACGTCTGGACAAAGGATGGGTGCCAGAGGTGCGGCATATGGAGGCAGCTGCGCTGTGGCACGAGCGAAATTGCCGAACAGTTTCATTCAGAATGTCCGTTTCACTTGCAGAACATGGACAATTGGGGCATTTTCATGCCCACTCGTCATGGTGCTTATTCAGCCCTTTCGTTCTTCCACTTGTTAAATTGTATGCAGCCAAATTTTGCAAGTGCCATTTCGTGATGTTGAGTCTTCTTTTCCTGCAATCTTGCAGGTGGTCCACGTTTTTGAATAAATGCATTTGCTGAGTATGCAACAATCATGTTGCTGCAACGTTCGGCAGGTGACCGTCTATTGCATTCTGCTGCTGTTTGCCACATCGCGTAACACTGTATGGTAGCGCCATCTTTCAGCACTGAATGTGAAGTATGCGTCATGCTTCGCCCATTCACTTTCTGAGGTATGGCGTCGATGACACAATAGAATGCCACACCAATGAACCCGATTTAGGTGGTTGCATTGCGCCTAGGTTTGTGAGCTCGCATTGGAGGCTGCCGGCGAGCAAGGATGCAATGCAGTCCTTTCGACGGGCCGCCTACACCGCCGCGCAATGGCCATTGCCCCGCTCCTGGGCCCGAGAAACGCCGCCTCGACTGCCAAGGGTCATTCGATTTGTTTGGGAGATGGGAGAGGGCGGGATTGAGAACAAGGTGTGCGCCCACAAGCAACAGCGCTGGAAGGAAAATTGGCCATTTCACAAACGTGTTGATAGCACTGTTGAAAGCTGGGAATAGTGCAGTGCAATGTGCCAAAATCAATGTAGTTCAGAAAAAACAGTCATATTCGCGACGATGTGGTGTAACATCGCTAGTTGTAATAATAGCAGCACTGGCCATTCGTGACGTAGGAATGGTAAGGTATAAGCTGCGATTCGAGGCATTGAATTAGAGTAAATTGGCATTGCGATGGATGCATTTTCCGCCCGTAGAACTGGTGAAGCAAACTGCGGAGCTCTTGTTGAATAAGCAAATTGTGAACAGATAATTCTCGTATCTGCCTTGAACGAGCTAAAGAAGCTTGCAGAAAGTTGGTTGTGGATGCCTTAGAAAGCACAGTTTTGCCGTTTTACTGTCCGCCAGAATCTAAGAACGTAGTAGACTGTCTTTTGGTCGACGAGAGTTTGATATGTGTAGTTTCGTGTTGTTGATTCACTGCTTAGTCACTGCTTCTGGGCCGCTCAAGACAACAGGGCGGGGTGAATGAAACACTGTGATATGCTCACCACTGCACGCAGTAGTTTGCTTTGTGTCAAACCCACAAGACTCCGTTTTGCACGGGAACATGTTCAACACAGCCATAGCTGCGGGTCGCTGTTTGGTTGCTCACCAGCTCAGTAGTTTAATCCTGCTCAGGACGAGGTCATCAAGATGCTGTGGGAGGTTGCGTTGCCTTTGGACTGGCGCGTCCGCCCTCTGGGCCTGACCTTGATGGCGCCGTTCGCCTCGCAGCTGTCTTCTATGGCGCAAACGGGCCTGCTGGTCGTCAGGCACGGGCCCCTCGTCGCCAACGCCATTTTCCTTCCCCCCGGTGAGTAGCTCTTGGTGGGACTAGCCGCAAGCCAAAACTTGTCAACCTTACGTAGTCTCAATCCATGCTCGGATGCTGTTAACTAAATAAACAATGTAAACCGTCTGTACAGCTGGCTAAATGCAAACTTCGATTGAGTTGCTCGATATTAGAACCAATTGAAAGCGGAGGAGTGCAATGCTGACCGAGGATTACGAACCTGATTCCAGTGGCCGCAGAGAACGTTTCGGACAATTTCCGCCTGAGTGTGGCACATGCGCAAAGCATTGGCGTCAAATTTTGCCGCCCATTTTGCACAGGCGCTAATTCATTGCGCGTGCGCTGGGATGATGCAGCCCTGAAAGATGTTCAGCTCCATGTTCAAGCACGGTCAGAAGCTGCGCATGATGCGCAATTTTGGAATCTGCAATCGATTGAACATCAGCGAAAATCGATGGGCAACGTTGGTTTGGTGATGTGGGTGCATTGCGCCGCACCTTTGTTCTGCTCCTCAGCGGGCTTCACGGCCCCATGGCACTGTTGGCCCTGCGCATAAAACCGCACTGGAGGGTTCATTGCAGATTTGATTCCAGGCGCGGCTGTCTTCGAGCTCATCCCCTACAATTGCGAATGGGCGGGCATGTCCGAGATGTACGCCAACATGACGCAGGCGTGTGGCGACCTGCACCACTTTGCGTGGACAGCGAGGGACCGCAAATGGGCGGCCTACGCATCGGAAGCGGACGGCCGATACGCCAATTGGACCTCCGACGAGTGCTGGGCAAAGTGCGGCCCAATTCGGGAACGGGATTGTGTGCCCAAATGGAACCCACCGAACTTTGGCAGCATCAGCTCTCTTGCCACAACATCTTGGCAAATGTGATAACGGCACTTCGAAAACCAATGGTGTGTTGGCAAAATCGAATTTTGCCTGCTGGCGTATGCCTGCCTTGCAGATTGCGTATGCACAGGTTCCTCAACTGGGGCTTGCGAATGCAGTTCAAAATTTGGATCTTTCCAATTTCGATCCACACCAAGCCCATCTCACGGAGAAGGGGTCCGCTGACGGGGCCTCAATGCTCGCAGGGAGTGCCTCGTTGCGCATGAACGCGCTGGGATGATCGTTGACGTTGACGCCGTGCGATCTGCACTGGAGGTCATCCTTCCAAAGGTGTCGGAAGGGGCGTCCATCGAGCGGTTGCGGCAGCCGTGGCCCGATGCAAAGTAGAGTGCGAGGCGAACCGCACTGGCGCATGTTGGCTCTAGAAACGCGGCTAGAAATGTGCGATTCGGTCCCATTTGCTCTCCTGGCGCACTGCCGCTATAGTAGTTAGACATGATTTTGGGTACTTACCACAATGCCAATCACGGATGGCATTGAAAAACTGTGGCCATCGTTTGCCATGTTCAATTTGGACAAAAAGTTGCCTCCTGCTAGGATGTTCGTAGGGGAGCCTGTAGGATTCCGCTTTCCTTTCAATCCTCAACAGATGGGCAAAATAAGTGCCATCACGGTTTCAAGGCGATAACGAGCGAAGGGAGGCGATTGCCAAAGCGGAGGCGGCCGTTCGGCATCCCAAGCATGTTCTTCAATGCACGTGGCGTCGAACTACGGGGAGCGGGACGGCGGTTGTGCAACATCGCCCTTCCTTAGGCCATAGGTTTGTGCTTTAGGGGAATGCTCGGGACGCCTATGCCCGTCCCGAAACCAAAAATCTCCTCTGAAGTATTGGTTGCAAAGGAGAGTTTCCTCCTCCATTGTAATGACATCTTTCCCCTGACGTCCGTTACGCCTCATTTCGCGCAACGCGCGTAGCGTTATACGACTCCCACCCTCAAGACGTCGCCGCCCTCCACGGGGGGAACCGCCCTGCCCCCCAAGGCCCCCCCTGTCCCGTTGTGAACCGCCACCGTCTGCACCGCCCGATCGCACGGCCTCAGGAACAACCCCCACTTCCCTCCTCCCATCAAAGGCAACCGCATGCCTGCCAGCGTCCCTACGCCCCTGTCATGGCATCTGTGCCGAAATCTGGCATCGGGAGATGGGGGCACGCCGTGTGCGTCGAATTGGATCGATCGCGCCGACTGGGCCGTGCGCACCGCGCGGAGGAGCCAGGTGGTGAGGCCGGCGGAAAGGGCCCAGAGGAGGACGTTGAGGAAGCAGAGGAGGCCCAGCCAGGTGGTGCCGGCGGCGAAGGCGCGGAGCATGGGGAACATGCCCGCGCCCATCTCGCCTGGGAGAGTGACCACAGGGAATGGTGAGCGACGCTGTCTTTCGGAGCCTTGGGAGGGCAGTTGTCGTTCATGACAGAACAAAGCCGTTGCGTAATTACTTGCTGTGCGTGATAGGACACCGCTGTGGCATGCAAGACGGCTCGCTTTCGGCTTGCTTGCACAATACGTATACGTATACGGCTCACTTCCGGCGCATGGTGCTGCCAAGCAACTTGTTTGCTCACTACCAGATACAGCTGTCCCCCAACCCAATTGAACCCAAAAGGCTCGTGAAGAGGATACTGAGCTTCTGATAGCGGTGGCGAATACATCGAATTACAATTGGCTTCACAGGGCAGCGTAGTGCCCTTGGCCCTTCTGGGATGATTGTTGACATTGGTGCATCTGAAACGTGTACATCCCATTTGATCGTCATGACGCACTCCATCCGTTGCTTCCCAAGCAGTGGGTTTGTTTTTCTTGATCGTGCAGGTGAGGGAGAAGTCAATGCCTTCATTGGCATGGCAATGTTTTCATGCATCGCTTTTTGTCTCGATGTGCACTATTTCTTGATTGTTTGATCAACAAATCCAGGGTCGCCGAATTCGTATGCACTTGCAGAACACAGCTACTGTTTGGCTTAGTTCATAGTATTGCACAGCGCAGCAGGAGCTGCAGGATGACCTGTAAGAAATTCCACTTCCAAAGGAAAACGAACAATTTTGTTGCCACATCTGCTTGCTGATTCTGGACTTTGGCGAATGCAAGCAATGGCGAATCTGACCAGCGCATTGGTATAGTGCTGCACACTATCCAATTGTGTGCATTTTTCTTCGCTTCCTTCAAAGTGTCACTTTCAACCTGCCTTTGGACTTCTGGCAGGCAATGTCTGCCAAATTTTGGGTTTGGGCTTTGTGGATATTGATGCGTTGGACACTTGGTGGTAAAGTAGAGAGACATGTTAAACTCGCTGTGCAGCATCCATTCCATTTGCTAAATAATGACTGCAGCAGCTATGCCAGAAGCAGCACTCACCCAGTTGTGGTACGCTGACGAACGTCCACAGCGACCAGGCGATGGCAAACGCGACGTGCACGACAAAGGCGACACTATCCATGCGTCCTCCAGACCTGGCACTCTTGTACAGCCTCCAGTACCACATCCTCCACGACAGGGGCACGCCTACCCCAGATGCAACACTGGCAAGCACCCAGTCCAGAGAGTCCACACCTCCTGCCCCCCAAGCCATCCTAAAGCAGAGAAGAGAAGATAAGTTCCATTACATTCCATTCATTTCCATTTCGGCAATTGTTCATCATGCATGCAAGTATTTAGTACGAACTGCACAAGCCAAGAACATTGTCCATTGTCTGGAAGCCAATTTTGACCTGCTGGGATATGGTGTGCCTCAACCGATTGGAAATGACTCAATGAGCCACGCAATTAGTGACAGATCACATTCGCCCAATTTTTTTCGTGGGTTTATTTGTCTGTGGTGAAGCACAATAATGTTTCAGTACACATCTGCCCTAAATGGTGGTTTTGCCTCTCAGCCCAGTCATGCTTTAGAAATTTTGCATTCCTGATCCATGCAGACAGCCCCAAAGGCCATTGATTACTCTACCGAACACCTTGCTCCCCAATCCAACAGGATCAGGGTATCAGGCTGAAATGCACAAAGCTCTGAATGCTTCTTGTGCCTGTTGGAATGCACATTTTGAGAAACTACCAGGCCACATGCAACGTGATGAAGGGGAACTATGTTACATCATCATTGCTTTGTCCCGGCTGCTCATGCATACCACGCCACCCTGCACAACTCAAATCGGCTTTGTGCTCACATTACTGTCACAGTCAGCCAGTTTGTCACGAAGCCTGCCGCAGTGATGCACCACGTGGCGTAGGCTGTCCGCACGACCGAACGCAACCCCTCCGGGATCTCCACATCAATGTTGTGGTAAGTCACTGGCTGGCACACAGGCCAGTTCTTTTTCTTCCCTGACGCAGGCGCCGCCAGTACCAGAACTTGTCTATTTTGAGCCGCGTTGAGCTGCCTTCTCGCCAGGTAGTCAGTTTCTGGATGGACGGTGCTGACGGGTGACATGGGGCGGGGGCCATGGGGCACTGTATGGACATTTGAGTGCGGGGAATCGTTGCCAGGAATGGAATACTGGGCAAGGGGGTTGGCATGAATGTGGAACCCAGGCATGGCAGCGTTGCCTCCTGGTCGAGGATCCTGAATTGTTTGGAGGAATGGGGGCAGTGTGTGAGAACCCAGCAGTGCTTGAATCTGCAATTTTCTGCGGTTGGCAAACAAAGACAAATCACCCCTCCTGACCAAATGGATGCCGAATTCAGTGGTGGTCGTTCCCTTACTGCACTGTTCCCACAATCGTCATGCTTAGTCTGAGGAAGGTAGTTTGCGAGCACAGGCCAGAGCTTCTGATAGGAAGGTCCTGCTCTATCATGCACTTGTGCAACAGAACAACTGCAGATTGAAGTACAGCATTAAATTTAGAGCTCCAAAGTCAAGTTAATGGGCCTGTTATTATCCTTGTGCTTTTCTGGAGCTCTCCCAATAATGCCCACACTACGTCCAGTTCGCATAGACAGGCCTTTGGCAGCTTGCCGAGGCGGCGGATCAAACACTAGGGCCGCGGTCCCCAGCCCTTTGCGTGAATCTGTCTTCGTTGCTTGCCATCACAGCGTCCCTGCAACAGCCCCGCGCGCCTTGCAGGCTCAGTGGGCACTTTTCTGTTCACATCTGACCAGCAGTGACTGTCCCACCTGGTTGGAGGTCTCCTGGTCTCCTTGGCTAAAGTAGGGCAGCAGCTTGCCGTGTCGGGAGGCGCGCAGAAAGCCCCAGGCGCTGGCCATGCCACAGCTTGCGCCGCAAGAACAACGCCGCGGGCGACGGGTGGACCGGGGGTCAGTGCGCGAAATTTGGCGCCCTGGAAATTGGGAAGGGCGACTCGATTAACTGCAGGCTTCCAATGCTCATTTTGTTCTCAGAGAGTGACTGATTGATACAACACACGTCCCAGACGGCGACTGATTGAAACAATGTTCTTCGCCGGTAGTGAGACGGCAATAGCACGAAGCGCGGCGACGTGCACCACAACTTTCCGCCGTTCAAGGCCGTGCGCTTGTGGACTCGGCCCGCGAGGCTTCAACGACGACAGGCCCCAAGGCCCCGGCCAAAGTCCCCAGCAATCGATAGAAAACCCACAGACTCACAAGGCCGGCTCTCCCGCGCTGCCGCGTGCGGAGGATTTATTAGGGCGCTGGTCGAAGAAGGTGTTTCCCATCCAACCGTAACCAAAGGGACCAGGCTTCTGGCGACTTCGGCCCAGCCGAGACCAGCCACCTCTCCTGGACGATCCCAGAACAACAACGATGTTTGATCTTCCTCCGGCGATGGGTTAGGAAACCACTGCCTAAATATGTGCCCTGTGGGCCAATTACAGGTCAATCTGCCCCACCATACGGTTGAGGCGGCCATATACGGCGGCAGGGACGATATATCTTGTGCGGCGCTTGCGCCCAAGTCGTTGGCACACGCAAAGGCACCAAGGCGCGACCTGGCCTGCCAAGAAAGGGGGCCGATCGCCTTTTCGAGGAGGGCAAAGCCACCACGCAGTGGGCTTGCAGCGTGAGCCACGGTGGCAGAATTGGGGACGCCGCTGTGCACTGCCGCCTGGCATGGGCGCCCATGGCAATGACCTGCGCCACAACCCGCAAGCCGCTTACGATCGACGAGCGGTCAAGAATTCACCAGGGGTCTTTCCTGGCACCACCCCATGAGCAAACCAGGTGATATTGAAGCAGGAGTTGATCAATGATCGACAAAGAATTTTGCAATCACTTTCTGAGCGGTATGGGACTCAGAAATGTGGCCACAAATGCACGCAGGTGAAGTGGATAAGATTAGCAGCCCACCTCCTTATGTGGTAATTGTGAGGATATTCCAAATACACCTGAAGTATGATCCCTCACGTGGGAATTGTTGAGAATAAGAATATGTTTGCAACACCGCATAATGACCACCGTTTCACTGGGTGGATTACTTGTGCATTATGGTGTGCGACTTGTACATATTTGTACATTACCACTGAGTGTATGGGCACCTTTGACATATGTTTTATAAAGTAGGCTGCATTGCGGCAGTGCGTAGCCATATCTGACGTGTTGTATGGCTGGTTGGTGGTGGTCGTTGTCATGTCAAAAGAAGAGTTCTGTGGGTGAGAATTCTAACTGTTTGGTTGCGGGGGTCGTTGCCACCGTCGGCAGGGCTCTTCGTTGTGGGAAGGGTGAACAATATGTAAGCCCTGGCGGTTTGTGTGTGGTGTGGCCTTGCGTCTGGCCGTGTGCCAACGCCGTTGAAGCATCAGCGACCATGGATTTGTGCTTCCCGTGTGCACTCCAAAAAGGGGGCCATTCGAATCGCATCAATGGCCATTCCTTCAAGAATTAGGGAAAATGACAAAAGGGGTATTCTGTGACAAAAGGGGGTCTATCTGCGGAGGTGTAAATGACAAAAGGGGGTCCTCTGACCGCCCCACACTGGTCCTACTACACGGTCCTACAACATGGTCCTACTAGGGGCGACCCCGCAGAGGGCCTCCTTTTGTCATTTGCACCCCTGCACAGGTCTCTCTTTTATCATTTCCCTTGTTGAGCATGTTGTTGTGTTGTGGGGTGTTCGCAATGCCGTTTTGACCCCCCCCCTGCCCTTGGTGTATCATTTAATGAGAGCGTGCGATTGGTCTCCATAAAAGTATACGAATCACTACAAGAAATGACCAGATTGTGTTGCCACTTGAAAAGCCATCAGACCGACTATTGCTGCAAACTGTCAGGAGATGGCGCATGAGCACAAAGACTTCATTCTACCAAATTGTTAGCTTCTTCTGACATGCAATTCATTCTGGGCATTCCAAAAACGTGCATGCTCACCTGTGTGACACAAAGGGGTGTGATTCTTGCACTTTTGCGGCGACTTTTGCACCGATTGGAGCAAAATAGCTGCATGTTATTATGATATCAAAAGACAATACTTTATGTCTTCTTTGATGAGCTTCCTGCCATATGCAGTGATTGAGACACGATGATCCCCTAGTACATGGGTCAGGACGTCACAAAATTGTGCGAGAGCGATCGTGATTTGTGACTGATGGGCTGTGTTCGATGGGCAAGGTCGTTGATGGTTGTTGTAATGCAATGAGGTGCATGCAGAATATTTTTCCAGCAATGTGCATTGGACGATGTATCGGACTTGGCAGGGCCTGCCAAGTCCAAAACCTGGGAGCTTGGCAACATTCCGGATTCTGGTTTTCACAACTCATGAGTTCCCAACCGATCAGTTGTGGAAACACTGCCAACGACTTCATTTTACAGAGGAGCTCTCAGAAATCCAAGCGCTGTAGGTGTTCCGCATCTGCCAAAGCTTGTGTGTTATAGACTTTAGCATTTAAAAACCCCGCACACAACCAGAGCATTCAGACCACAAGAATCGAATCAGATATTCAAGCTGTGGGCAGCATCTTCGATCGTGATTGGATCGGCCACAATGGCCCCCAAAAGGAAAATGGCAAAAAGGGGTCCTCTGCCAGTGGGCAACTGACAAAAGGGGATCTCTGTAGTAGGCCCGGCGCTGGTCTGGCAATGGTCTGATAACGCTTCTGATGGGCAGGGGACGGTCAGAGGAACTCCTTTTGTCATTTGCAACCCTGCAGAGGACCCCTTTTCTCACAGAGGACCCTTCTTGTCAAGATATCTCACAGACGACCCCCTTCGTCATTTTCCCATAAGATTACTCGTGGTCGGCCGGGAGGTCTGGGTGGGAAACGGGGCACTCGGTTCTATATTCTTCAATTTGGTCGAATTGAAGAAAATCGTAGCTCAATGCGAGGCGCCGAAAAAAGCGTCCCGACTGGAGCTTGGACAGAAGCGGATCTACAAATGAGGTCCTTCTGGAAATCGCACTGCCTGTAGTAGGGCTGTCGACGGACACCAAACTTGGGACTTTTCTGTCCACGTCTCTTTCTCTCCTACGTGCACCAGCTCAGCCAGGAAACTGAGTGGATTCTTGAGCCAACACCAGGCGCGCTGGCCTTGATGATCTGTGCGAAGGCTCAATATTGCCGATTCACACCAAAACGCGTCCAATGGCCAAACGACTCGTTCACTGGCTTCGAGTTGCGGACCGAACACCAGGCCAAGGGTTCCGCCCAAGGGTTGCTACCGCTTGCCGTTTCCTAGCAAGGCTGGCACCTGGCTGTTGCAGCCTGTGCAGCACCGTATCGTTATTGACAAAGGGGAAAACGAGCTGCAAAAAATTAACCATGATGCGCAAGTACTCCACTAATGATTATGCACTTTGCACCGAGGCCGCTCGTCGACCGTGGGACTCCCCGGTGAGTGAATCTTCAAGGTTGCAAATTTTCGACACCAGTATGCAAGCCCTAGGCACCAATAATCGCGGCACATCCAATGCTTCCAGCCCCCCCAAAATTTTCGACTCTGCCAGTTCACCACCAAAATGCAATCTGGCGGTGTCAACGAACCCTGACAATGCCTTTCCAGCCCCACAAAAAATATACTGAAAGCGGCCTGTCGACCAAGTGCTCTATGCTTCAGTCACACATGTACACAGTCAGCACCACATCTGCCCAACGCCAGGCCAGCAATCTAGCAGTGAACGCATTGCGGCGTTTGCTCAATGCTGGACCAGTACATTAGCAGCAAGCCAGCGCCACAATCGTCCAATACACTTTTCAACCAACGGCCATGCTCTGCGAGGAAAGCCACTCCAGGGTCCCCAGCGCTGCGAAGGGAGCCAACCACAGCTCGTTCGTCCGTCTACCCACAATAAAACCGCCTCGGCGGCCCAGCCGAAGAAATGGGCCGCAAGGAACAGCCAAAACCCCCTGCAGTTACAAAATGAGGTGATCTTCTGCACCCCGCTCATTCGAGTCCATCCGAATTGTCAGCAAGCACGGTCCTATTCCGCCCACGCAGCGGCACACTTGCCTCCAACAGTGTCCACCGCCCCAAAACAATTTTGCCAAGCACTGCCCGTCGAAACCAAGCTGTCGTTCAAGCCACGTTTCGTCAAAAGCACAGCCTTGTCGATACGACACATTTGGCCGACCTGCGGTTAGCCAAAGGCGCAACCGTGTTTAGGCAACACTCTTGCCTCGGCAGTTGCCTTTTGGCACAGCGAGGTCGCAACCACGCTCATGCAGCCATGGTTGACTTCCACTCACTGCGCCCCGCCCTCCGCCGCCTCCCGTGCCGCCGCCTCCGCTTCCTCCTCTTCTTCGATCTCTTTAAGCGCTGTGGTCGCCAGCCTCCCAATGAACGTGATCGCGCCAATAGTTAGCACCACTCCCGCTGCCAGTTGCTGCGCACAACGAAGACATCTATTAAAAAGCTTACAAAAATTGCACCCAATCCCTCAATGCAGCAAACAGCATACAACCACAGCAACACCTTGCAAAGACACTCCTGAGCATGTGTCATCAACAGTGAATTAAGAAACGGTGGATGCGCGACCTGCAAGTATTGTGGGCTTTAATAAAGATTGGGCTTGTGTGGGAAGATGCTGACGGTGTACTGCGGCCACAGTGCACCGTTCTCTATCATGCCATATCAGGTGCAAGGCATGTCGTAGCATCTGTGTCCCTTGGGGCCAATCTGCAAAGTGTGCAATCAGCACAAGATTTTCGCACTTTGAACTGGTGGTGCAGCACACCAGGTATGCGTCAGTTGGGCAACCTCTTAGCTGCTGGCAACGGACCGCCCATCTTCAATTTCCTTTTTCTTCTACTTCAATACCTAGCTAGGCGATCTCATTACTTGTTTAAGCGAGTCAAAATTGCTGAAAATTGTGATTTTAGTGGAGACCAAAAAACCACAAACACTGCAACCAACCGAGTTTTCCAACCTCATATTTGGTAAATTCTGCAGCACAGGACAGTGCTATTGATGCCTGTCTATGATACGCCGACATGGACAAACGCAACTGAGGAAAATCACAAAAACGGAAACAATAAATGACAGGGTGACGGCACTGAGAAACAATCATTGAAACGAATAACCTGGAAATTTGCTTGTTTCACTCCCACAATCTGGACAGAGAAAATACGTGAAAGGGATTCTAGTTGTGGGCGCGCCTGAGGATGTGCTTGCAGGGAATCCGCTTGCACAACAAGAACGGCAACACTTGCGCAAGCCATCGTATTTAAAAGAGTCGAATTCGTTACAGATCTCAACAACCTCAGCCACACACCTGCCAGGCTCCCCCGCCGCTCCCAGGGGCCCCCTCCGTCAGCGTCCGCCCCACACTGCCTGCGCTGACATAAGCAAAGGTTCCTGGCAGCATGCCTAGCCAGCTGCCCAGCGTGTATGGCCCCAGGTCGATGGATGTAAGGCCGTAGAGGTAGTTGCTGGCGGCAAATGGCATGAGGGGGCTGAGGCGCAGTAGGAAGACGCACTTGAATGCATCTTTCTTCAACGCCTTATCCACCGCAGCGAACGTCTTGTTGTCGTTGGCCCACTCCAAGACCTTCAAATTCAATGGCAAAGTACAAGCACGCCAAAGTCAGTCAATTGCAGAACTTAGCAAACCAATGGTAAAGCACAAGTTCCGCAAGTTCAATATTCAATACACTGCACAAAGCACAGAATGCCAACTTCAGAGTGTTTCCACTGACAAAACATTGGATAGAACCATATTAGAGGGAACAAGTTACACCACTGCACATTACAACGCAACAATGGTACAGACCAAACGTTACAGATCAACCGCCTCATATTCTCACCTTGTCCCGCAGCAGGTACCTTGAGATGAGGAATGCTGACACTGCCGCGACTGTCGCAGACACGGACACCACCGCCGTGGCAGCCACCGAGCCAAACAGGTATCCTGCTGCCAGCGTCAGCGGGGCCGCGGGCACTGCCAGGATCTCCAGCACCGTGTACACCACCGCGTACACAACATACCCCAGGGGCCCCAGGGACTCAACATCCGCCACAAAGATGTCCAGGAAGGATTTGATGTCATCGTGGTAAAAGACACCGGCACCGACCAGCAGGGCCACTGCAGCGGCTATGCCAGCAGTGAGGAGGTAGTTGTTGGCAGGCGGGTTGAGGTCGTCATCGGCCTCTGGGAGGCGCGGGTCGCCAGAATGGCCCACACTGTTCTTGGCAGAGTCGGGGCTGGAAGGGGGAGGCACAGGGGTGTCAGGAGGCGGTTTGGAGATGTTGCAGTCATACGCTGTGCATTCAGTTCCAGGAGTGACGAAGGCTCTATTGGTATCATGGGGCGGTGGGCTTTGTTGTTCTTCTCATTCGTTAGTTTACTGTGCAATGTTGATTGTCCAAAGTACTCCTACTTTACTCCACTTTCGTTGTGCTTCGCAGCTGTTGATCGCATTTTGTGAGATGGGGTGACAACCCCCACCATTGCCGCTTCATAACAAAGTTTAAGTTCTTGTTTCTCAACGATCAGTTTGCAGGGCTGTCAACATATCATAATATGGTGTCCTTGTCCCACGTCCACTGATAAAAATTCGACCATTTTACATGGTGTACACTTGGACAAAATCGTGTTCATATCATGTACAAATCGGGTGCTTCAGAGCACGATTTTACACGAATGCTATAATTGTGTAGTTTTCAAACCTGTGTAGTACACGAAAGTGGTCCACCTTACCATCATGGACAACACGACAAAGCACACGGTTTTACACGAATTCAACAATGTACCAGCGGCAAATGTGTATTTG